GCAAGGGGCTCCCATGGGGACAGGCACCTGCTCAGCTTGAGCTAACATAGGAGTGCAGGTTAAAAAGGCACAGGAGCAGTGCACGGGAAGCCAAGACATCAGCTGCCTGTGGAGGTGGTGCCATGAAGGGTTTGTACTAGCTGGAAAACCCAGAGCTGACTGCCCAGGCCGACAGATGCATACCACGTCCCTGGATCTACCTATGATTTGAAAACAGCTCTTACTACTCCTCACCTTCCCAATTTTTGCACCTCTAGCAAAAACCAAGCGTGAAAGCAGCAATGTATTTGTCACTGATCTGTATCACTATTCAACTGTGGCTCCATTGCAGGGAGTAAATTATAACCAACCCAGCATTCCCCCAATCTCACCTCAAAGACAGGAACTTCCTCCAGGCTGTCAAACTTCTCAACTGTCAATACTAAAATGAATGCATTGAATTCCTACTTGTGTCAGGTAATAATTTCCTAAATCTCCCTCAGATCCCCTGAAGCCATGGGCTAAGCAGCTCCCACTCCCCAGCATTTCATTACTGCACAAATAGATTTCTGTCTAAATTCTTTCATCACGCACAATCGTCTTAGTTATACGTCTTTTATTTTAGCACTCCCCTGAAAGTCCCAAATAAGACAGGCAAGATTAAAAAAACATGAAACATTAAGATCTATCTGGACAATGCTTCTTGTGATCTTACCCACAAAAACTATGTCCCAGTTCTGCTTTTATTTAGCCTGGAGTGAGGTCACCACCCACAGTACAGTCATACCTCGGTTCAAACCAACTCTGTTTGCTCTACCAAGCACGGAAGTTTGTTCTAAAACTTGATACTGTATCTGACAACACTCTGTGTAACTTAAGCAGCATTAATAATGGGGCTTGGCACAGGTGTACATCTGCATACACACACAGCACTGACCTTGCAAAGATGAGCCTGAGGGCATGGTCTTTAACATAGTTTATTCACAGAAAAACCATCTTTCCATTTGTAACATTCAAAATTTCACTGGAAACAACTGTAAGAATGTCTTCAAAATACAGCTGTCACTTGAAAGGCATATAAAACTTAAGACAAATGTCAAATAAAATCAGTATTTAATGATACCAAAAACAGATGTTGAGCTTTGTATGTTCTTAAAAATTAGACTCTCCTTAAAACTTAAGGTATTGTAATACCTCCTAGGGCATTGTTAAAAAGGAAAGCATGGCATAGGAGACAAGAGGTGCCACACACTAATTATTAAACACTGAAGCTGTAATTCTGTATTATCACCACCAACACAGTCACTAAAAAAGTTCTTTAGCAGAATTTTTAGGCACTCTTTAAGTACTTTTTTTACTTAGTGCAGTAGTTTGTGACCTTTCTCCTTAAATCACATCCCCGTACTTCCCTGAATTATTACACCAGAAGAAAAAGTACTTTCTCAGCAGAAAACCAACAAAAAAACCCCTAAAAGTCTGAGCCAGACAGAGCTTTCAGCTACCACACATTATCCTGCCCATTTTATGTGTAATTTGGTACCTTAGAGCTGGGTCCTTCTGAGGGTGCAGCATTTTGAGGGGAGTGGCAGATAAAATGCAGGAGCACCTTTGCTGAAAGGTGTTACTGCCTTGAAATTTAGCAGGCTGCTGGAGGACAGAGAAAGAAGGGATGAGATCACCCGACTTTTCAGTTAATACAGGTAAAAAAAATGATGGGAGACACTGAGTACCTATATAGTCACACTACTACCAGAAATGAAGCTGGCAGCACCCTGGGATTCAAAATTGGCAGCTTTGCTGCTGCTAGGATTAAAAAACTGGATAGCTTTTAAAGGGAAGTTTCAGTGCAGAGGTTTTACCTTCAGGAATAGCAAAAATGGAAAAAAAATAATCTTAAGAGCAGCTCACGCTTGGAAAAGGTTTAAGTATTTGGAGTTAGCATTATTGTTTTTTTCAATAAGTCTAAGGTAAGTCTTTGGTATGGCAAAATGCCTGTGAAAACATGTGCCTGGATTGAACAGACACTGATCTGTCTGTGGGCATTACTGACAAACACGCTGCATACAGGTGTGCTCACCTCCATTACCTTAACATAAAAGCAACACCTATCCTCAAGGTGGAAGAAGTGACTGTGTGAAGTGGGTGTCAAAGCAGGGCTGGTGTACACAGAATCCTACCAAAACATCTTATGGGAAGGTGGGAAACTAATCACTTGGCTCACCACTTATTTTTGAAGAGAAAAGCTACTGGCCTACAAGCTGTGCTTTCAAAAAACAAAACAAAAAAACAACAACAAACCTAATACCCTACCCCATGGTTTATCAACAGTATCAGCTCTTGGCTCCATCCTGAGCGAACAAACAGGTCTGGCTCTAAACATTACTCAGTCACTCACCCTGAGATAGTAACCTTGGCATATTCAGACTCTACATTGCTGCAGGAGCACAGAGTGGGGGGAAATATCCCTGGGAGTCCTGCTTAGTTTCAATCATACAGATAGGAAGGCTAATTAAGAATAAAAAGGAGCAACTGATAAGGATAAATGCTTGTAGACAGCATATTAAATGCAGTGAGATTATCCAACATCATAAAAAAAATAAACTTAGTGACAAAAATTCATGTATTAAAACAATAATAATAAAGGAGTCTCAAGTGAAAATTGGGGAGGGAGGGCGTGGATACAATTTGCTTGCCATGAAGGCTTTTTTCCATTATTTTCAGGGTATTCACCATAGCAGAACAAAACTCTCAAAAAAGAAGAAAATCTAGGAAAATTAGAGGAAGATATCAGTTATATATTGTGGGAAGAATATTTCTGGAAAGGAAAAAAACCTTAGGAGCAGAGCTCCCTACCACCTGCCTCCACTCAAGTGGAGAAGCAGAGGGAAGTGGCCTGCACCACCACACTGTGAGAAAAGGACAAATTCAACAGCTATCCTGGAAAAAATCCTCACAGTCAGTGTACTTCGTGATGTTACCTGGATGCAACTGGATCCCTGGCAGAATCCTACAGAAGAGCTAGGGGTCTTGGCTCTGGAAGCAACAGCAGGTTTTGAGAGAGAAGAGGCAGCCCCCTCCTTCTGCTTGGCTCTGCTGTCAAGAGTCTAAGATCTACCAAGGACTTTTACACAGAGAGCTCGCAAAACCCCACAGCCTTTGTAAAAAGCCTTACCTCAGCATTATTTTCACGTGACATTACAATTGACAGTAGTAACGGTCTACTTGACTACTAGTTAGGTACTCAGATCTGCAGCTACAGAGTCACATACAAACTTCAAAACTTTTTAATTATCTGAAATAATGATGAGAAATAAATGCTAGTAGAACTAAATACAGTAATATCACTGTTTGCTGGTGCAAACCCCCACCTGTTTATAGTCAAAATTTTTGAGCAGACTTCCTCAGAGGCTCAGAAATGTGCAATTTTTTAAATATATATTTATTTTTTTTTAACTGAGAAAGAGCCATTCTACCACCATGTGAAGAAATTCTGATTTCCTCCATTTCCACCACTGTTACCTGCACTAGTGCCCCAGGACCTCCTCTGCTCCCCTCTCCCCCACACTCTTGCCTGCCTCCCTGCACAGAGCTGGACAAGGGGCCACCTTCTGCTGCATCAAGTGCAGCAGATGAGCCCCATTTCATAGCAGGTCCCTTGATGGGGACATGTCTGGGTACCTCCCTGCCCCCACCACAGCTTTTTATGACATCCAGAGTTATTTCAGACAATGTCCAATTTGCTTGAATGGACCAAAGCTCAGGAGTCATTAGATGAAAATCCGCAAAGAGCACAGCCTCCTCCCCTTTGGCTGTGGCTCCCTTCCAAATCAGGCTGCATTCACCAATTTCCAAATGGTAGAGCCAAGGGGCTAAAGAGGGAGATGAGAATCAGAGGAAGTTGTTTATTTTAAAAGTACCTATTGCACTCCACAGGAGAAAAAAGAAAGATGGCTCTTTGGTCACTTCAGTGCTCATTCCTCTAGTGCACTGCTGCAGCAACTAAATTGTGTCAGCACTCCTGTAATCCTCAGCTTCTGAAAAATACAAACACTGTGCTCTTCACCTGCTAGTGGTTTGTGTTCATGTTCTCATGGTTTGCACTGCTACTAAAGCTCTCCATATCATTTTATTAAAAAGCAACAAAAGGTTTTTCTGTCAATGTTAAAGACTTTAAGTGGACTTTTTTGTGTTTCTTTAGGTATGATTTATACAGGTAAACACAAGATCTTGAAATAAACCTGGCACAGCGTAAAATTATACTCTATGAGACAATTAGAACACAGTATGTGTTGTCCTCTGACAGTTGTCAAGGTCACACCCAGGCAGATTTACCTCATTCAGCAGGCTCATCTGAGACCAACCAATACAGGAAACAAGTGTCCCATCAAATGTTTCAATTAAAATCCCAGGTAAGTTCTCACGACTAAATGATTTCATTCAGCCACATCCTTTAAACCTAAACCTAAAGACTGGAAAGGTAAACAGAAGCCAAATGGACTGTTCAGCTGAGGTACATCTTGGATATTCCCTAGAGTTCACTACTGCAAAAAATGGGAACATCCATTGTTCACATTGATGCATTTCAAAGGAAGAAATGCAGTACAGCATTTGAGAAAGGAAATTGTGTTGGTTTGGAAAAATACACCACTTCTTCCTGAGAACAGGAACTCGTGTATCTTCCTATCGTGGAGATCCAGAAATCCAACCAACATTGGCTCTACATTTAAACTCAGGTGTGAATATCCCTGTCCCAGCTCACATTTCTGTTGTGGTCTAGGGGAAGCAGCTGACACGCAGGTAGTTAAGACAGCTCTTCAATCTTCATTCTGTCTTGAAGTCAAGTTACCAACTGTAAAATTTATTGGACGCACAGCACAGGGAGGTTTTCCATCAACTGGGTACAAAACAAGCACAGTCAAAACCAACATCTCCACAAGTCAGACTAAAGGGCCTTCACCTTTGGCAAAGGAAGGCAGCAGTTCAGAGTTGATGGCCAGTGCAGCAGCTGTACCTTCTTTATTGAAGATGGACATCCCCTTCTCAGAGCAAGGCAGGCCAAAATCTGTACATTGTTTCTTCCCCCTTCTCCCAAAAACACATTAATGATTTATAGGCATGATTTTAAAGCCATTTTCACACCACAAGACAGACATTCATGACTTTACATCCACCTACTAATCAAACACTGGTTGTCTCAGTCTCTTGACAGTAACTCTCTTGGAGAACAACATCAGAAAAAAAAGTGTTCCAGAGAAATAATCATTTGGAAAGAGTTCTTGCTGATAAATAAGTGATGTGCATCACATATATACCTGATACTTTCAGCTGAAAGTTCCAGAGTTTTCCCATTATTAAGTAGCTTTACAAAAATTCAGTTAACTCCATTTGCAATAGTCCATTATCCTCAGGCTTAGAAGAAGATTCTGCCTTAGTGAGGTTTCTGTGCTCCTTTTAAACAGTAAACAGTTATGCTGCACTTGAAAAATAAAAATGTCATACAAAAAATAAAACATTTTCAAATCTTGAAAATAGCCATTGTTCTTCATATTTTGTATTCAGCTTTCACGTCAAATTGACCACAAAGTTCTTGTCTATAAGCTTCTTCAAAAATTTCTGCTCAGCATTGATGTTGTGGTATTCATTCTAAAGAAATGTGAGGGAATAAAAAAAAATAAAAAAATTCAAATTATTACTTGAAGCATCTCTTCATTGTTCTATCCTTTTAATTACCTGTGATACCTGGAAGATGTTAAAAGCAAGAATGCTCTGCGAAAAAGACTTCTTAGCAAAGGCTCTTGCACAGTTCCCCAAGAAAACAGGTGAGGGACTATTACTCAAAACTACATTAGATTTTCCATTAGGACATAAACCAAGAGGGATGATCCTTCAGTGGCAAGAACAATGAGATGTGGTCTCACAAAAGTCCTCCTCCTCCTTACTCTCCCAACTCCTCCCCATGTTTACAGGGAACAGCTGCATAACCACATTTACAGCATGAGCAGTCAGAAAACAACCAATTCTCAAAGCTTAATGCAAGTTCTTGAAAAGCACACATCGGGCATTTGTGAATCAGATGCACCCTGCCAGTTTCAACAAGTGAAAACTAACCCATCTTCTGTGCTGTGTCCAGACCCTGGATATACAAGACACCACTGAGACTGCAGTGGAGGACAGCACAAGGGAAGTTCACTGGCAACCTGAATCCAGTAAATGATAATTAATATAATACAAATACTGTATAAAAGATTATAGATATGTAGTGCAATACTTACAATTTAATGCTACTAAAGCATTAATGATTAAGTTTTGTTTAGTTGCTTCTTTTTTCAAGTTTCAAGATTTTAGGAAATCTTATGAATGTCTATTCAGCTGGTGATCAACCTTACCCAAGCTTGGTATACACGGCAAAAAAAGCACCTGCAGAGAAGAGCCTCAAAATGAAGGCAACATCAGTATCAGAGGGAAATTATCTCACAGCTGCAGGCACCTAGAGTATTCACAGACATCAGAGGCTCCTATACACACTACCTCGATCCTTCCTCATCAGGAAAAGGAGGACAGAAAATGGTCCCCACATGCACTGAGCGTGCACATGGAAGAGAAAACTGTTCACATTCAAGTAAAGGGCTGAGATGGAACTGCTTAGATTACAGAGCTGAAGAACAGAGTCATAAAAGAAAACAGAGACATGGCCATACCAAAGCAGGAGGCCTTTCTCTGCAGGATGGGAGGGGCAGGCAACCCTGCTGTTTGCTAGCCTCCTGCTGCTCCCTCTCCAGCAAGTTACGGCTTCCCTCCCTTTAAGCAGTTCCTTCTGCTCTTACAGCTGCATTTCTACACTGCTTTCCATTTCTGAAACTCAATTAATTTCCTCATTGCAAGTTTATGTGTCTTTAACTCCTTCCTTTTCACTTCACTCTTCTCTTTTTTTTTTTTTTTTTTTTTTTTAAATGAAATTTGGCAACTGTGGCAAACTGTGGCATTACAACCAGCTGTCAAGGAAGAAGAAGACGCAAATAGAAACAGCACTATTTATTTTCTGACAATGCTAGCAAATATGCCTGTATGAACAAGAGCTGTGTAGCCTCAGGATAACACCAGCAAAGCAAAGCAGAACATACAAATAGATGTATCCCATCCAGACTGTGCGCAACATAGTGGAGCACAGGGGACACAAATATCCACACTGTCATACCTGCATCATCTGAGACATGGTGTCATTGCCATAGTAGTGCAAGGAACTGTTTCTGTCTGTGAAGTCATACTTGAAGCCTGCCAGGTGAACTTCATGGCATATGTGAAATGCTAGTGTAATGGCAATTAGCCCTGTTGTTGGATGCTTCGGTTTCTAAAAGAAAACAGAAAGAGCACATTCATGTAAATAACTGGCAGCTTGATGGGAACAGCAAGCCTAGGAGCCAAGGCAGTGGATATCAGGCAGCCTTGCTCTTCGGCAGGCATTTATTTTTGTGGTTTGATCCCCTTCTGTTTCATAATGAACAACCTGCTGCCAGCAGGTTTTTCATGACCAGGCTATCTTCTGTGTTGATATTCCCATGGGATTCTGTTTTTTCATGAGGGCTGAGCCTACACTGTAGTCCTTCCCTCAACAGAGGCATTAGGAAGGTCTCACCATCCCTCTGCTCAGAAACCTACTTTCATTAAACTAGTCAGGCTTCAAATATTGGACATTATTTCACCTTGTCAAATTTGACTGAATTAGCACAAGCTTCTAGATTACAGAGATCCACACAAGCAGAAAAACATGATATGACTCAAGTCTTCGTAACACCTAATGAAAAACATCTAATGAAAAATAAATGTTACTGCTGCCTTAACTTGGCTGCATTTGATCTTTTTCAGAAGAGGGAAAAGAACACAGCTTTAAACCTTTCCCCACTATTTCCATTAGAAGGAAATCAAATGTAAAGTTGCTGATTTTCCCCTACAGTGAGATAGTTCAAAAGTAAATGCAAAATACCAAGAGGAGGTCATAAACGGGTTTTAACTGTGCAAAATTAAGAACACCTAACCATAAATCAGCATTTATTACAAAGCACAGAATTCCTTGCAACTACCTGTCCTATCTTGTAATTAAGTACATGACTCTTAGCAGCAGCAGCAACAATGATCCAAGGAAGTAAGAGCGAAGTTTTGTACAGAGGTGAACTCTCTCCTTTGTCTAAGTGATGAAGGTGAGGGGAAAATATGCCCTCAAAAATGGACAAAACTTTCATGCACTAATGCCAGTCTCAGCTAAAATAACAATTTTATCAGAAACCAAATGAGATAAACACTTTGAGTAGCTTCAGCCAAACCTCAACAGAGCACAAAACCACAGGGTTTTTTGAACTCTCACCCAAGGATCAGCTCATTTGCCTCTGAAATGAAGCAAGCAACCCTGCAACTGCACAACTCTGTGCAGAGGGAAGGCACATGCACTTGATACAGAAAAATATTTGTAGCATATGATACAGAAACAAATCCCCATGAAAAAAAATAACATCAGCTCTGTAAGCCTAAATAAAGTAACAGAATTGAACTATCACCTTTTATGCAGGATTTTTTTTGTACCTTTACGCAACTTCTGGAGCATTCAAAAAACAACATCAACTTAAAATGCATGCTGTTGCCCAAGGCTAATGCCAGTTAGCAAAATAACTTTATACCCTAGGGGCTCAATGTCATAAACTTAGTGGTGATTCTGTTGCAGTGTCCATACTAAATAGGACCCAAAAATTATGGAAGGAATGTTACATGTCAGGATTAGTGCTATTTGGAAATATCAGAAACATCACCAGTTCAAACTAGCTCTGTTTACCTTTGACTAAAAGTTCGCCTCAAAGGAATATACTAAAAATGTGCAACATTCCTTTAAAAACCTGTTGTGATGCTTTAAGGATACTCTTCTGTCTAAACCAACCTCAGGAAAACCAATATTCAACATGGTGAAGGCAGAAGTCTTTATTAAGCAAACTGGTTTTCTGCAGATTCTGCTGAGCAGAACTACTGCCAGTGAAATGTGCAGGACCCGAAGTGCCCCAGCACTACCCAGATATCCTTGGGCTGTAATAAAACGTGCTCAGCCAGTTACGTTTAATGGGAATAGGTGCAGTCCTGGAATTACTCTGCAACACTTTGACTTCAGTGCTGGAGCAGCAAATCAGAATTTATGGTTGTTCTTCCCAGCTCTGCTAACACCGTCACAGCTGCTAATGGAAAAAAATAAATGCTTGCTGGTCTACACACAGATGCACACAGAGTGAACTAAAGCTGGCTTAATGGAAAAGGGAGAGACAGCAGGAAAAGCAACAGCAGTCTTTAGCGTCTCCTGCAGGCAGAGGGGGCTGAAGCACAGAACAGTGAAGGCACCAGCCCTCTCCAAGGATGCACTACAGGGACAGAAGGCTCTAAAGTGGAGTCAAAAAGCCCCCCTGCCAACCAAACCCACTAGGGATGACCTGCAGCTAAACTAAGCCAGAGCAACTGCAGATGTGCAGGCTCCCAGCCACAGACTGCCTCCGAGATGGGAGAAAAAGTGACGACAAGCATGCCTTGACTATCGCTGCCTCCTGGGGTGTGGGGCTGCAAAACCCCTGGGATAGAGCAAGTGGGATGTAGAGATGGTGGAAAGAGGTTCCAATCACAGATGCACTCTACCCCCACTCTGGGCAGGGGCACCCAATGAGCAGGAGAGGAGCAGAGAACATGCATGTCACCCAAAGTGACTGAGGGGCCTGTGGTACCAGATCCAGGACACTGTATGCATCTGTCTGGCTAACTGACAGCACTGGTCTTACTTTTACCCCCACTGAGAGGGGAACACAGAAAGAGACGGGAGGGATTTCTGGAGCCATGGAGGCCACAGATGTTCCATCGCCCTTGAGGAGATCATTAGGCACCAAACTACTATGTTGCTTTCTTCCCATCCTCAGTTGAACTGAAATGCCATGGAGCCCCAGCAAGCATGCAGCCAAACTGGGTATTACAGTTTGAAAGTTAACACAGAGGAAAAAGCCACTAGTAGACTCAAAAAAAGAAAATTTAAAGAGATTTAAACAAAAATTTAAAAATACCTCAACTCCTCAAATATTAGAAAGATTAAACTAGAACAAGAGTTGTGGTAGATACTTCAGTGACTGCCCATTCAAATACTTCCACACGTGTCACTTGGCTGGTCCTGATGAAGCAGCTCCATGGAACAGTGTGACCCCAGGGAACTGTATTTGTACTAAACAGCACATGGCCAGTCCTGATTGCACAAGGGAAGTCTCCCACTTGAAGTCTTACCATTCGTTAGAAACATTCTGCAGTCAGAAACTGACAGTTAAAATGTATTTTTAAGTCCAAATTGTTGGTTAATTCATTACAATACTTGGCATCAAATCAGTAAGCAGAAGAATGCTGCTAGACATATGTCATTAGTATGGGGCTGGAATATCCTGTATGCTCCCTAGTTCCTACTCACTCCCAGAAGCATGAAACTGCAGCAGTGACAGAATTACTAGTCTGTTGGGTTTTCAGGGGGTTTTGTTTCTTTGGTGGACTTTTTTTGTGTGTGTGTGATTTGATGGGGGTTTTGGGGTGGGTTTTTTTTGGTTTGTGTTTTGTGGCATCTGGGATTTTTGAGGTTTGGGTTTTTAAAAACAAAAACAAAACCAAAAACACTACGAAATACCCTTAATATTTCTAGAAGCTATTCAGATCTGTCATGTTCCAATGCCTGTCTGGTCTTCCAATATGTGTAAAAGGAATTATGTCTGTCTGCAAAAGCAACCCCAGTTGATGCTAATTACAGAATCCATAAAAGAAGATTTTTGGCATGCAAGGGTACTCTCTTTCTGGATCCATTTCTCCAACTTCTTTAAAGACCATCTAAAAACAAGCTAATGCAAAATTAACCTAAAATATGTTCTAACGTAGTGCACTATAATAAATAGATAATTATCTCTGAGTACACATTTGGTTGCACAAAGCTAAAAGGCATAGAAGGAAAAAGCCTACCTCTTTTTTGGGAAACCTTGTTGGAAAATTAAGCCACTCATAAGCAGTCTTTCTGGTGATGCTGGGATCAAGAATTCTGATTTGACTAGATTTGTATATCATGTTCAGAGCTGGTTTCTTCCAAAAGCCTTTAGCGCTCTGTAACAAACAAGCAAATACACATTTTAATGGTTATAAACAGTTGATTTTGGTTTTATAGCAACTCTAACCAGAATAAAAACTAAACGTAGGAGGCTGAGGAAGAAGAGGGGGAGCAGTGAGCTTCCCAAAGGTCAACAAAAACACATGCCAAACTGCTCCTGCAACAGGATAACTCACTGCAGCAGCAGAGGCTGGGGCCAGCTGGCTAGAAAATAGCTTTAGAGAAAGACCCATGATGGACAACATGCACCAGCAGCATGTCCTGGAGGCAGTTAAGCATTCATTGTGTGTTTGGTTCTGTCAGCAAGAGCACAGAGAACAGGTAGAAGTTATTTTCCTCAAGTACTTTGTACTGTGACTTTCTGTGGTCTCACAAATGCTGTTTTGGGCAAGAGTGTGTCAAGCTCAGCAAAAGGCCTCTAAAACAGCTGAGGGGCCAGAGCACACAGCAACTAAGGAGGGCCTGAAGAGGCTGGGTTTGTTCAGCTCATCTTCAACTATCTGTTAGGGGTGTATAAAAAGACACAGGATCAGACTCTTCTCAGAGACACACAGTGAAAGGATGAAGAAAAAATATTTTCTGTGAGGGTAGTGCAGTACTGAAACAGATTGTAGAAATATCCTGGAAATACTCAAAACTTTCCTGGATAATGCCCTGAGAACCTGGTATGGCTTTGAACTTGGCCCCGCTCTCTTTCAGTAGGGTTTTGGACTAAAGAGCTCCAGAAGGAGGTTCCTTCCAACATTATTCTGCAATTCCATCAAATGCACAGGAGAAAATAATCTGGGAAATGGCCAAAGCATGCATGTCAGAACACAAAATGGTGCTAAGAAGAGGGTAAAAAGGTATTTACAAGAGAAAATCTACTTTGGGGTGATGAACCAATGAAGTATGTGGACAGAAGAGGACAGAAGCATTTATGGAAAAGGGATATTGAGCAGACAGACTGGGAGATGTAGTGCTCCCTCAAGCTAGAAGCACTAAGGCTAAAATCAAAATGGGTATTGCACATGAGAGGTGTGTGGCAAGCTGAGCTAAAGTGCATGAATAATTAAACTCACTACTTTCTGACCACCTAGTATCTCCCAAAGCCACTTCAAGTCACGTGGTTTGAAGACGATGAGAACAACAGTTGTATTAGGATCGTAGTGAATCGGATCTGAGAAGATAGACTCCGGGTAAGAAAGGCGGAAAGTCGTCCTCCTCCCAACATCCTCTTCATACCCTATAACAGGGCCATTATTCATTCTGCAGAGGACAGAGAGACAGAGATGGCAATGACTACCCCATCCATAACCTTATTGTGTGATGGCTGGCACACATGCTAGTCTGTGGGGCAGACAGCATGTCCAGGTACAGGAGGGTTTAGCAGCCCAGCATTTACTTATCACATTACATGGTAGATGAGCAATTAGCAAGTGCACTCACTAACCCAGAGGGATCAAGAACACGTGGGAACTTGGCCAAGGTGGTGTAGAATACAATTGCACTATGGCTTATCATCTGTCACTCGAGCAGAAGGCCACTTGATTTGGCTCAAACACAGAAACAGGAGAAGACCAAAGGGTATATTTGGCTTGGAGAATTACCCATTGCTTCATTCATGCTACTACATTATCCAAGTTGTACAGGAGACAATTCAAGAATGTTTTAATACTCTTCACTGTCTACAGCATACAGGGACAGGGATTATGACTGTGTATCTGATACTGAACCATCTTTATGTATGGAGTTTTAGTTTATTTGGGTGGTTTTGAGGGGTGGTTTAGTTGGGGTTTTTTTGTGTTTGTTTTTTTTTTTTCTTTTAAATAGTACTTTCACAGCTGCCACTGCCTTGGGATAGAACAAATCCATGAGCAGGTGGGTCAGGTCTATTCTGCTCTGAGGTGTTAGGGGGCGCTGTGCTTATGTCTCTATCTTGCAGTTTTTCTTTGGCTGCATCGCGTATTTTTCAGAGAATTCAGGCAGTCTGTGTATGCTCCATTCCTGCCAATGTGACTGACTTCTCTAAATTCGAGGCGAGCTGCTTAGGAGAGAATTTTCGTAAAAAAAAAATAATAAAAAAGCATATAGACTAGGGAATATTTCAAAGTTTTATAAGAATAAGTTGTAAAATACAGAATGCAAACACCCTATCTTTGTTCTTTCACAGAAAGCAAATGTACTATATTTCTGAATGTGTGACAGCAGTCTAGCTAAAGATTTCCATTTTAAGAAGAGCCAATAGAACCCAAATACTTGAAGGAGCTACAATTCATAGTGCTTCCTTGCATTGTTTACTACAGTGAAAATAAGTGCAAGGGGTGGGCTTTTTTTTACAAAAAAAAAAAACAAACAAACACAAAACTGTCAGACAAGTAGTTTCCCAAGAACAGGGCTATTATCTGGATCACTTCCTATAGCTTTGTTTGTAAGAGGAGCTACAACTGAAGAACTGCATGCATTTATTATTAATACATTTTCAAAAGTATGTAAAACTCCAGTCTTCATATAAAACTTTTTTTACAGTAGCCCTTGAAGACTGAAACACTATTACTAAAATGAGAATTAGAATTGACATCAAAGTAACAAAAATGAAGTCTTGTTGCATGTTCAACAGAACACTGAAGCAAACTGAAATGGCAGCTCAGATTTTGTTGAGAGTTCAGGCATACTGTCTGACAGGGTACCTACAGACAGAAGGGTTACTTAATCAGTTACCATCTCAGTTCCTGCAAAGGAGGAACCGATTTATCTTTTTCTGATTATGCAGAAAGTTCTCTTATAGTTAGTCAAGTTTTCAGTTTGCTTGGTGTTTGAACTTTGGTTTTTTCCCCTCCTTGCCTGTTCCTCTTTGAGGAATTCCCTAGTTTCTCCAATCTAGATACTACTACTGCAGAGATAAGCATCCTCTGGTAGATTGAGACATCTCAAACTTCAAATATCAGCTAAAACGTTTGAGGGAAAGGGGCTGACATCGTCATCTTCCCATTGACATGTACCTTGAGGTAGACTTCCCAGAATATGTGTGTCACATTTAATCCACATGCCAGCACAGGGTACATCAGGCACAATGTGGAAGGCTGCCTGGGGCAAAGGGCTTATGCAGAGCTCCAGGCTGTCACAACCTTGGATCCATCCCTGATGGCAGCATCTTGCAGGTGCATGTATCCAAACAAGAGGCAGACTGACCACCTAGCGGTCCTTGACTCTCATTTCAATCAGTCTGTGTAATAAAACACTGAACATTTTTTTTTTTCTTTTTTTTTTTCTTTTTAAAAAAAAAACAACACAAAAGCTGTGATGGAGTAAGTACAATGGGAAGTTTTATGCATTTTCATTTGTGTAATAACTGAACTCCAAAGATACTGGATGACAGGAAAAGTTTGTTGTTCTTTCCATGAACACAAAATGAAAAGGAGACAGCATTTACCTTATTATCACATCATAGGAGTCAATTTTCTCCCCTAATGTCTTATTTCGAAGTACTCCTCCATTACCAACCACAACACACCGTCGACAGGCAATGCTGTAGAAGAAAAAGAACTTTAATAGGCACAACTTCCCTGGCTTCATATTAATGATATATTTGCCTCACAAACATTTAACAGATCTATTTACTAAGTGAAGTCCACAATCTTTTAGGCCCCCAGGCCCCTTCAGAGCAGTTTCAATCCTGTATCACACTCTAAGGCTGCTTGTGAAAACACACAACTGCATTATTGCAGGGACTGTCAAAGTCAGAATGTGGCCCCTCTCCTGTAAACCTGTATTTATATACATCCTTTTTCAAGTGGTTTAACGTTTAAGGTCATCCAACCAGTTAGTGATATGGGTGCCATTAGGTAAAATTATCTTCCACAACGCTTCAAGTTTGTCATAGTCTGGGTATATCAAGCAGGATGGAGTACGCCTGGAAAAATTAACTCAAATTAAGGTGCTTCTGCAATATTGTACAACTACGCAAATACAGATATATCCAACGTGAGACACAGTGACAAGATTTATGTTCACAATTTATGTGACAGGCACCTGAATTGTACATGGAAAAACCTTAGCCAATGACACATGATGGCTCTCCCACAAATATAATTGTCGATTTTCCTCCCTGTATTTAGAAAGTGCTGTCTAAACAAGTTACGATGTGCCAAGAAGTGCATATTGTCATGACATAACGTGAGCGATACACTTGATTAAAAGTTGCATTCTCATGACTAGATCCAAATTAGACAGCCTTTCTAAGTATACAAACAATTTTCATACATTGTATAATACATCCAATCAAAACTACAAATCCTTTCAAATTTATAATATATTCATAGTTTAAAAGCACCCAAGAAGTCATTACGAAAATGCTAAACTTAACAAAGTAAATTCTCATGATAAAATTTTCCACGGAGTTGTCTCAGGTTTTATAACTTCACCTTTTACTTTGTATTGTCTTATTTCAATGCTAGCAAAATGTGTGCTTTGCTAAAAAAAAACAACAACGAAACAACAACAAAGAAAAAAAAAAGAAAAACGACAAAACAAAAGCATGCACAGGCAGGCTTGGTGTTGCTTAAAAAGTTTTGCCCCTTTAGGGAAGGTTTATATCCAATGCATAAGACTGCAAAGTCCTCTTTACAGGGTAAGCATATAATTTTTGGTTGCAAGATGCTTCTTTATCTAGAGCAAAAGCTGTTCTTCACCTTGGTTACAGCAGGGATAATGGCAAAATAAAAATGTAGGTACTCTTCAAACACAAACATGCTCACAGCTTACTGAGCTCCCAACATCCCATTTCCATGGTTCTTCAAATAAGAAAAAGGCTCTATGGCTTTTCTTACTGTAAGGGACTCCACGACCCAGTCACAGAGAATATTGTAATCTATATTAAATACCCAATGTGGCACTTTATGCAGACTGAATAAAATCTCTCTCCTTATATAGTCCAACCTGCTTTTTCAGCTGAAGACAGTATTATTCAACATCAATGAAAACAGCCTGTTTGAGCCTGACCTAACCAACATTAATACACAAAGCAGTTCCCTATATTTCCAACAGAATTGTTAATGCAGTTATGCTGTACTGCATGTGAGCTTGGGAAAAGAAACTGAGCCACAAAGCAATCCTGAAAGCCTGAAGCTTACAGAAAAGTTGAAACAAGAATTCCAACTACACAAAGCACTGTATTTCAAAAGAAATCCTAGGATGGCACCTTCTGACCTGCAGATATCTGCAGAGGCAACTGCCTTTAAAAATATATATATGTGTGTATACATAAAAATAGTACTGCTCAAAGCAGCTGTCAGGGTGGGCTGATGAAAGCTATCGCACCTCTCCCTAGTGTTTCCTAAGAAGCTTCCTAGAAGCCAAGCATTCATAAAAAGATTTCTAGCTAATGCCACAAGTCCACATGACTCAGTACATCAGAAATCAGAGGGGTGAAAAACTGTTCACCATCCTGTCTTCAGTACATCCTTTCCCTCTACACCCACAAACCCCTTGCCTCTCTACTCCAGGACTGCTTCAGTCCATTCACTTCCCAATTAGTTTTCCAACCTAGTTTTAAGATACCCTGAGGAAGCAGTCTGATGAACATATGCCCCATGCAAAGTTCACAGTGGGAGGGAAAGGAGCTGATGTACCCTAGAGCTCAAAGCAAGATCCTGAGCTACATAGAAGGAACGGTAGAAACAGAAAGCAATAACAAAAGCTGGACAAAAACCATCATCGATAAGTGATGAAGGTAGAATTAGTGCATGGTTATATCATGTTTTCCTGTAATGTACAGCACGCCTCTGCAAACCACTGAAAGTTTCAATCAACTCCAACCTCTGAAATTAGTGTCACCAGCAATTCGTGGCCACAGCTGGGTAACTGAGGTACAAAGCTCATCACCACTATGCAAATCCTAACCTGCTACTCAAACTCCTGGTAATACCTCCTGGCTACAGCATGCTTGGTGGACACCCTGGCTTGACAGTAACTGACACACCATGCATTAACTCATCTTCAGGTCTCAATAAAAAGCCAGAAAAAATTGCTCCTAATCTTTTATTTTATACTGACCTCTTGGTATGAATTCACAAAAACAGTGTTAACTCCATTACAAGTTACTTGTATTATTCTGACACCATGATAAGCAGCCAAAAAGTTACTTTGAGGAGACACTGCTTGTTCTGCCCTTGTAGATGAACTTTAAATAATTCCTTATTACATACCTTCCAACTTTTGGCAGAGGCTGTGATTTAAGAAGCTTCTTCTCTGCATCAGTCCCTAACTACTGAAATAATGCCTTCCACTCCAGTATAAAACCGGAGAGATCTTTAGTTTCTCCTCTCTGCACTGTGCAGTTGTGATGGGATGGGACACTCAAGACAGAAAGGGTAATATAAAACATTACTTTAGAGCTGGACAACTAAGGTTTGCAATGCTACAGAAGCTGGGTATCTGCCCTTAAGTCAAATCCAAACTCTCTTACCTCTTACTGGCAGATGCAAACCAGATTTTGTTCATGGATAAGAGCTGACTAATACTACTTGGATGGAAAATGGAGTGAAATTTGAAGTTTGATTAAGCTTTCAAACTCCAATGCCCTTAACATGCATACTGAAAAATAATCAGCTGCCTTCAAATAACCAATAAAGCAGACAGTATGTCAACTTCGGAAATGGATAAAGTCAACAAGCAGATCAAATACTCCTGGTGAAATGTATATGACTTTAATCACAAATACAGTCAAATAAATTAGTCTTACCAACTTTTAATCTCTGCCAAGCTCAGGAAATCAAAACAGGCCAACTCAAACATGAAGTCTAGCACAAGTGTGCTATTTCTGAATTACCTCTTCCCCTTAGCTCCCCTGCTCTACCCCAAAGTGTCTCCAATTACAATCATAGGTCTGTATCCACAGTAGCAGATTCCACTAACAAGGACCAGCAGGAAGGAAAAGGGTTTATACTAGAGTAAATAAACAGATAACAGGAAACTGACATATGAAAGAGATAAAAAATACGTACCAAGGCCAGCCAGACTATATCCCAAGATATTTAAATTAAATAAACTGACCTGTACTTACTGTAGATCACAGAAATCAACACAGATTTTCAGCAGACTGCTACTCCCAGATACTTCTCCAACCTCACTTAATGTTTCCTTTTTCATAATGTTTTCATATTAAAAAAAAACCTCAAACACTAACCCTATAGAATGAGTAACACACTGCCTTCTTTTAAGTCAATTCAAGCAAGAAGAGAAATAAACTCAGATGTTATAGAATCAAAGAATGTTTAAGGTTGGAAGGGACCTTAAAGATCATCAGGTTTCAACCTCCCTGCTATGACCAAGGACACCTCACACTAGACCAGGCTGCACAAGCCTCATCCAGCCTGATCTTGAACACCTCCAGGGATAGGACATTCACAACCTCCCTTCACGGTGAAGATTTTCCTCCTGATGTCTAACATAAATCTCTCCTCTTTCAATTTAAAACCATTACCCCTTGTCCCATCACTGCCCTCCCTGATGAAAAGCCCCTCCCCAATGTTCACACATGAAATGTGCTTCAAATCAAATATAACAGGCTGTAAACTGGAGGCCCAGTTTACAACCACCCCAATAGTGATGAAAGCAAAAAATATTAAGACTTCAGCTATTACATGTGTTATAAAAATGGTTTGAGTGACTAGGGGACTGCATTTAGGAGAGATCTGCTTAGAGTATAAATGGATTCTAATGCAAATGCCTGGTAAATGATCTCCAACTACTAAATGCAATCTCTTTAGTCACTCAGATCATTGTCCGGAGAGTCTCCTAATTTAAAAGGCCCAGACGTTAGTATATTTTAGCATATATATTAGTATATTTTAGTATATATTAGCATTTTGTATATATGGTAAAATACTAAAGGAAACATTTTTCTAGTCTGTATGGGAAAGATACTGTTAAAGGGAAGTAGAGCCTTTAAAACGTAAAAAGTCCTGCATCCTCCACTTTCCACTGGAAAACTGTTTCTCTGAAAAAGGAAAAATAAGATCTTAACTTCAAGTCCTTTAACTCACACCCCCTAGAGTCAGTTGAGGAATGCAAATTATTTCCTTTGAGGTTATCTGGTAAAAGGAGGATGCAGATGTCACATTTTATCGACTCAGCATTGTACAAATGCATCTTTAAGCATATACTGCTGCTGAGTTTAGAGCCTTGAGAGTGCCTAGTGAGTAATTATGAGGAAAACAATGGGTGTTCAGAGGCTACTCTGTGGATATAACCCCTATCCTGGAAAATCCTTCTCCTATGGGCTATGACACTAAAGGCAGTGACATTGCTCACTTCCTAACAGTTTTGGAGAACTGGACCTTTACACAATGAAAATGTCATCTAAGTTTGGAAAACAACACTGTTTAGAAAAAAATCCTGTGCCAATCGCTACAAACAGTTTTACCTGTCACACACAAAACCAGCTACATGAGCACTATAAATTTGGTTCTCATAGAGTCCAATATTTGTTAAAATACTTTACACAAAACCTGATGGATCTAGAAAGAATACATTGTATGAAGTCACTACACATTTCATTTGCTTATACTACTGGCTATTAAGCAGTAATATTTCTCATTTTGCTTCAATACTACTGAAGTATATTACTTTTATGAAAATGAAACATACTTTCCAGAACCACTAAATATATCTCAGAGAACTTAAAGTATAAATATCAATTACCTTACTTTTGATCAATAGGACAGACACTTAAATGTCACACACTGTACTGCAAGTGTCCCTGCTTTACAGCCAAAATTATTATAAAGCTGAACTTGCTATTTGGAAATCTCGAATACAACATTTGGCATTCTCCTGCAAACTCCAGACACAAGACTAGCCTTTGGCAGCCAATTTTGTATAATTTTCCCCAATTACCACACTCCTGATAAATAATAAGGTCCCCACCCCCCCCTTAAGAATAAACCTGAACATTCTAGAAATAGATGCTAACCACAGGGAAAGGAAGGAGTACAGTAGGTAAAGAAAACTAAAACTAGGTATTAAACCCAAGGTAATTCTTAGGCTTCAGCACAAATTATTTTGTTCATATTCCACCCAAATTTAATTAAAATATGACCCTGGCTTGAAGCAACAATCTTCTTTTTGATCTCCATAATTAAAAAAAACCAAACAAGTACAGCCAACTTCAACATTATTTGCATTCAACTCTCTTTAAGAAGTCTGCTTATTAACAGGTCGTCAGTCCATTTGCTAGAATGCAAATCTAAGAAGTAATTTGCATCACCTGGTAAACACAGAATTTTAGTATACTTGCTAACCCTACACTATCTCCAAAAAAAAAACCCAAAACAAAAAACCCAAATGAAAACAAACCCCAAGAAGGAGACACACACAGAAATATCCTCCAAAAACAACCACACCCCCAGAAGTGGCTTGTAACCAACTTTTAAACAGCAATGCAATGCATGAGAAGCACTTATCTTAAGGCATGCTACACTCTGTGCCACACCCTCGTTACTCCCAAAATGCCAGGAAGGGCCTTTCCTAGCTGCCTACATCTCCCACATACACAGGAGAAGGAAGGCAAGTGTACACATGAACAAGGCTGTGCAGCAGGCCAGCGGATGCAGTGGCACAGGGATATGCTTAAGATTTCTTTTAGGTAGAAACAGTCGTTGCTTTGCATATGCTTATCTGTTCTCTATTCCCTAGCTTACACTAGTAATTACTTTGAAAGCAGAGATCACATTTTTTAAGGAGTGGTTTCACTTGCCTCAAGTATAAGAAGATCTGCATTCAGTGGGCAAATTCCTAGTGCACTTCTAATATGAAACCTGTAAGCTTAAGCTCCTTCACAGAAAAATTATTCTTGACTGCTGGTGCTACAGATGTTTAACACCAAGCTTACTTAAACCTTGGGATCAGTTTTATATTCCTTGGACACCACTGGTCATATCTGTATCTTGGCTAACTTGAGCAACTTCAGGGTAACATCACTGACATTCCTTTTCATATAACTATTAAATATGAAAAAAGCAATTAACAGAAACAGTAACTAAGAAACCATCTCACCTGTCATCTTCATTAGAAAGTCCACAGTTTTGCAGTCTTGAAAGGGCTAAACGAAAAAATTGCTCTAAAACACAAATACAGAGAAGATTAATGAAAATGTTCAGTATGTTGCCATGTAAAAATAAGCATGGCATGCTGACTAGAGTATTTTTTGAGGCACAGTAGTTTTTATTCACTGTGCATAAAAAATGTCAAAATAAGAACACATAGCTTAGGGCCACAGGTCAACCAATGAAGCCAAATAAACTCGTTTATCAGAGCTCTCCTCTGTGAAGGTTTTCCTACTCCAATACTCCTCTGTTGGAAAGTAACATGCCCCTTAGTTACAGTAAATAAGCATCAGTTTTTCAAGGCCTGCATCCTAACTGACTTTGCTTATTCTTCCACACACTTTCAGACACTGGAATAGGCTGCCCAGGGAGGTGGTTGAATCACCATCCCTGTATGTGTCTAAGGGTCTTTTGGATGTGGTGTTGGTGGATATGGTTCAGGGAACAACTTTGTAGAGTAGGGATGATGGTTGGACTTGGTGATCCCAAGGGTCTTTTCCAACTTGAATGGTTCTATGATTCTGCTGAAACAGAAGCAGCCTTGACCCAGGAGAGGCGGCTGCACAGCCAGGGACAGCAACAGCATTACGGATCTTGGGAGATTACATCAAACCAGCCTGTGCTCACGGGCAAAGCTCACTCCAAACCCCTCCTCGGCAGGCAGATGCCTGCTGGATGCTCAATGCGTCTGTAACCAAGAGGGGGCCTCAACTTGTTCCCAAATGTACTTTTTCCTCACTGCAACCCCAGAGGTGCAGGAAAATGCACCTTCTTTGTGACACCGACTGAGGGCAAATCCAGAGTTTAAACCCCAGATCCACAGGGTACCAAGAAGATCCACTGTTCAGTATTAAAAATTCTGAGACTTGAGACTTTCCAAGCTTTTCCAAATGGGTGACTAAGACCCTTAGGGTCTCTAGCCCTGTCAGCTCTTCCCTGACCGCTGTGGGCAGCAGGCAAGAGGAGGCAGCCATGCAATGGGAAGAATACCCCTGCAGCCCCAGTGACACCTTCCCTGGTGGGAGAAGCTAGCTCAGCAAAAGGGAAATTTTCCTGATGTAACTGCACCAGCCTGGGGACTTCTGCCTCAGTAAAACTCTGGATCCTGATTGTCTTAGGTGTATTGATCAAACCTTATCACACTGGCCCAGCTAATATTTCACTTAGCAAAGAACTAGCTAAATATCTTTAGCACTCCAGCCCACATACAAACAAAATTAAGCTGAATATGCTTTCACTCTTTCTCTCTCCTGTCTTTTTGGAGCTTTTCTGTGAAGAGTGGCAGCCTCAAGAGTGTTTTATTTGTTAAAAACAGGAAGGTGCCAGGCGGAGGGACTAAATCAACCATTAAGTCACCTCTAGATACCCCCCAAAAAGATTGGCATCAGTGACTAGAAAAGACCAAAGCCGGAGATTCAGGTGGCTTTACACACCATGTAGGTAATTCTGTTTAGAAAGAACATACATTGGGAACACAAACCTGCTCTCTTTATTCCATAAGGTAGTTCAAACTTATTGCTCCCATGGAATTCTGCCACTCTGATAAAATCATTAGCGCACAGGAACGGGTATATTTTCTCAGCACTAAATGAAGGGAAAAAAGAAGCTTAAAAAAATCCACATGTATTTGAATAAGCCAATAATTAATGCATCTGCTTTAAAAAAAGTTTATTTATCCTACTTCAAGTACTACCAATTTTTATAAGAAAAAGCTCATTAACATCTGGGGAAAAAAGCAGATGACAGAAAAGGGGAAGATTTTATAATGGAAAATATAGGTGGAGAGTGAGATAAAATTATTTCTCTGCTAATACAAGTTACATAGAGCCATTAAAATCATGCGACTGAAAGCTTACACTATGAGACAGCATATATAACAATACACAACACAGGTAGACAATGAATCTGTATTAAAGACAGTTTTGAAAAGTAAACAACAGAGGCAGCAAGGATAATTAAGAGTTGTTACTATATGTGACAATAAATAAGAGTGTGATTTGAAACAAGGTGTTTTAACTTGAAAATACCATCTCCTGAAGATGTCAGCTTATTTGAAATGTGTTTCAATTCCAAAAAAATGGCACTTTATGGCTGTGTTGACATTACTAAGTAGTTTGGGACAACAGGGGTATATCCATATGGCAAAAAAGACACGATTTCTCCTGTCCACATTACATACATCTCAGGTATTTTTACTCTGAGCTAACTAACATCAGTAGGGTCCCACAGACTGAACACCTCCTAGCAGCTGCAGCACATCAGGTGTGCTCCTGTGTTGCATCTTCTGGCTTAGTCAGAAGTCAGATGTCTGAAAGTAGCCCAGCCTACAAGTGCCAGGGCTGCCGTGCAGTGAGAAGCACGGCACGTGGGGATCACAAGGACGTTTGCCTGAAAAGCACATTCTCCTGCAAACTAGAATGGCATCACACTTTACAAGCATCAGGATAGAAAGAATGGGTCACTTTTTTCTTAAAACGACAGTTACCAGAGACAATGGTTATCTTATAGCAGGAAAAGGACTAGTTATTAACATTATCTGCCAAAGCAGTGAACAGTAGACACAATCCTGTCACATGTTACCATGCCTCTGGCTTCACTTTGGATTTAAGTCAACACGTACTCACTGACCTGGTTGACTTTGTAGCAATCCTGCATATTAGATCTTATATTAAAATGTTAAAATGGAGTGAGAAAACCCAGTGTTGAACATAAATACCCACAGTCAGCACGACTTGTTTCTCCATTAAGAATATTAAGCTACTAAAAAAAAACCTTTCCTCTCAGTTTCACAAATCAAGTATCACACTCTAAGCTCTATGTATTCAGAAGACACCAACAGTAAAACAGGAAAAAAAAACAACCCTTAATTAAACACCACAGCCTGCACACCAAGAACTGGGCCATAGGTCAACTAAGCAAGACCAGCTAACTTTGAGACATGATGCACTGAACACTCATATTAAATTTAATAACTTGCCTTGCTGTTCAGAAGCAGCTGGTAAGCTTAGACGAAATAAATAATTTACCTACTACAAAGAGATTCTTAATTCTAGCTCTGGTTCCTTTCCAATAAATAATTCTGCCAGGTTAGAAATCCTTGCAACCTCCCCAGGCTATTACCAAAGTGCACAGACGAGATCTTCAGCCCACACAAACTATCCCTGTAAAGGAGCCATGGAAATATGCAGGAGGCAGCATTCTAGCTCTGTACCTTCCAAGTCCATCCCTGCCCCCTTCCTCATCACCAGAGCTACCTGGCTGTGCCTGACACGAGGACAGCCTGGGCACACACTGTGGGCAAGGACCCAGGACCTCCTCTCTGGGTCAGGCAGCTAACCAAAACTCAAAGACTGCTTCTGGGAAAGTAAACTTGAGATCATTCCATGTTCTTTAAAATAATAATAGCACTGAACTAAAGCCATGCTTTCTTATACCGAAAAAGGAACAAACAAACAAACAAAAAAAAAGCAGCAGCAATAGTGTTTTTGTCTACAGCTTTAAGACTCCTGCAGCTTAGTGTAAACATCTTCCCAAGCTTTCTCAAGGCATAATCAATGTCCAGTCAGATAAAACACAAAGTAAACAAAATATCCTTTTTGTCTTTTGGTCTTGTAACACTTCCTTGATCTCATTTAAGATTTGTGCTTCTAAGAAGAAAAACTCCCAGTATTCCCTCACAAACTTCTTGGATGTACTTTTGTGACCCAACACCTCCTTTGTTTTGGGTTGAAGCTCTTCCTTTTTTCATCTGACTGCTTCTTTGCAAAGGAAGCTTCCTATGGGTACCTTCAGTTGGGAGACTCCCATCACAATTCAACAAAACTATCAGAGAAAACAAAATCATGAATAATCCCAAATTTCAATAAAATTCAATTCCATTGAAATTAAAATTCCACTGAGGGGGAAGAATCTTATAATTTTTTTCACATTTAATACTCCTTTTTCAAAATAAAATGAAGAGATTTTCAAAATGTCTCTGGTTCCTGACTGCTACAGAAATACTTAGCTACTGAAAAATCTTACAATTTAAGTCCATGTTCTTAATAGCAGGTATGAGTTTGAGCCCTGGACATGAAGGCTTCTTTCATAGGAAAAGCATGGGGGAAGGGTGGGCAGAATAGGCTTGTATGTCAATCATTAATATAGTTTCACTGTTACTAGCTATAATATCCAAGGAGGACATTTATTTATTCAGTAGATACACCAGCACGTTGAGCTAGTTGTGTGGTATTGCTCAGATGCTGATCAGTGGAAAGCTAAACAATTTGTTGCCACAACCAGAAAAAGCAGCAATGAACCTGGGGTGAATCAAAATATAAAATAGACCAGAATATGTAAATAGCCCATAATAGCCCATTTCTACTTCAACCAACACAGCCTCTACTTCTCCCCACCCCCTACTTCCCACAGAAAACTCACCCCAGTAAAGATTCAAATGCTGGTTTCAGGAGACAAGTGTCCAGCACGTTCCTTCTCTCCACAGCCGTAGGTGGCAGCCTGCAAAAGAATTTTGAAGAAATAACAAGAGAATGTTGAATGGGTAGCAGCAACGAGGACTTGGACAAGCCAAATTAGTAAGAGCTGCTTACTCAGTTAACATGACACCAAGTTTTCATCATTGCCTCTGTCTGTATTTTAAAGATGGATTCTTCTTGTTGTGGTACAATTATGTTAACTATTAAAGGCTTTCCTCTCACAAGGCTGCTCCAAGGGGTCTGCAACCATATTGAGCAGCCATAACCAGGGGTGAGCTCTCAGACCCACCTGAAAGAAGCAGGACGCTTGGGCTGAATCACCCATGCAGCCATACCAGAGAGTATCACCAGCACTACTCAGCGAAGTAAGGGGAGTCTTGTTTGGAGAGGCAAAGAGACAGCATCACGTAAGGTACTTCAAGGAAAATGAGATTCTCTGGGATAACTCATTCCTCTCATAATAAGGCTAAGACGCTTCTTTCTAAGCACATTCCCACCTTGGTGATTTAGCCCAATTAATAACACAGATGAAGCCCAGAAGGGCAAGTAAAGTTCAGTGTGAGCAATGCATGCATCTGGGCTGTGTTAAGAACAGGAGGATGAAACCACGACACTAGAACCAGAAGCCAAACAGACCATTAAGGTTAATTGCTTTTGGTAACCTCAAGCTGTCATATGAATACTGACACTGAGAAAGCACCCTGTGAAATTTATCATCTGCACAGCACATTGCGATCCAGCATCAGCCTCACAGGTCAGCTTCAGAGAGAAGAGACCTGCTTTTAGGTTTTAGCCTAGGCATTCATTAGCCCTACAAACCTAATTGCAAGAATTGCCTAGCACAAGATCTGCTTACACATGCACTTGCGCATCATAACCGAACCACACCGCTCATTTATTTTAAGGACAAAAGTTACCCACGTATACCTGAATAAAATTAGCACAGCTAACTCAGAATTGCAGAAATTTGCAAGAGGCAAACAAATGTCCTTCCAACAAGTCATTGCTTGTTACAGACAGTCACTGTAAGTGGCCATAAATAGCAACCAAACACTGGAAACATGACATGGACAAATTCCTTTCTGCCAGACATGTTACAACTGCATTCATAACAGAAACAGTCAATGGACACACCTGTACAATAATCAATTGAACAGGGAGTCTATGGAGAAAGGCTAAAGATTTCAGTCTCAATCCCTCCCACCTGCCCAAAATCCAACCAACCAAAAAAAAAAAAAAAAACCACACCACCACAAAAAGACTCAACTACTGAACTTACTGGGTAACTCCACTAGTCTCATAAGATGAAGAAGCCCTCACCGAGGAAGTCTGTCCATAAAAGCTAATCCTGCAAAAAGGGAAATGTCACAACACTGTGGTTTGCTGTAAACAGAAACCACAACAGAAAATCATTTGTATCAATCGCATACTATAGAAAAGGCAAACAGAGGCACAATCACTACTTTTAAATGCTACCACTATTCTCTTTGTAACACAAACACACTGGTCAGTCCTGGCCACATATGTGCAAAGGCCCATAGAGCCTCAACTTCTTTAATTAGCACCCTGAATTTTAGGTCCCAAGCCACTTGTGCCACACCGCCTGGAGACAGCAATGGCTCACTTCCCACAAGGCTGCCACGTAGACAAATTTCAGCTTTTCAAGAGGTGCCCACTACATGTGCAGTTATTCCCAAGTGTGAGGCAGGTCTTGCCCATATTATTTATCGGATACCTAAAGGAACAAGCTAACACTAAACACCTGTGGGGTGAAGAGAGATCTGGACATGTGATACACACCAGTAAGATCTCTCTGCTCACCTGAACACCTATTTTCATGAAACTCAGAGGGGCTCCTTGTCAGTAAGATTCTGCCCTCTCCACACAACCAGGCTCAAATCAACCACTAGGTTTAAAAGTGAGAGAAGAGAAGGGGAGACAGGACAGAACAATCACATTCATTCCCTTACTGTAAAAAATAAATAAATCAAACAACAACAAAACAAAGACACACAGAGCAGTAATCACTTTTGTTGATTACAAAACAACTGCTCAGTGACACAACAACTCACAGTTCACAACTCTCACATACTCTCTGAGGGTGTCTGCACTGGAAGCAAACAAAGCATCACCATACCAATAGAGGTTATTTCTCCACAGATTTCCATGAAGTATACCATACATAACAGCAGCAGCCAGGATAAAAAACAGAAGAATTCGTTTCATGACTGGTAGATCTGAAATGTAAGAAGAACAAAACAAGATGTTTAAATCTCAGTTATGCTACTTAAATAAACTTTCATAAAGCATCTGAAAACCTACAAAAGGAAATTATCGTTATTACAGACAAACTGTGACCCTCCACCACTACAAATTTGACAGGGGATATCTCTGGTTTGATTTCTCCAAGTCCCAGTGACAGGAGCTGAACACTGCTCTGCACCTATCAACCACGCATACTCTCTAATGCAGAAGCATTAAGGGAAGCTCACTCTATACAGGCACCTGCACTTCTCTCTCTTGCGCCACCCACTATCAGTTTCCATAATTACCCAGTTAAACAAGTATTGGTGCTTTGAAGAAGGCAACTTCACTTATGAAGTGACAGAAAAATGCTACTTTTACACATCCTAATATGAGGAAGTTAGTTTCCGACCTGTGTTAACTCAGTTATGAAGAAATAGCAGAGAAAGCGTTCGTTTTACAAATAGAGTTTTCACCTCATTGCACAGTCCAGTAGGAGAAATTAAAAAAAAATATCAGAAGCTCACGCTGACAAGAAATCTCAGGGAAAAGCAAGTTCCGCGTTGCACAGACCTAACATACTGAGCTGCTCTTTCTGTAGTTATGAATTAATTGCTGTTACCTAATCTTCTAAAAGTCCAAAACAGCTGTTCTGGCCACAAATTACGGTGGAAATTCACTCGAGCTATGACTTTCTATTACTGTCTTTTCTTCTCCTATCATGGTAAGCAGGCTTGATGCACACCAATGCATAAGCACCATCTTGCATAGCTATATCTTAAAGTGAAACAAACAGCTGTCCAGCAAAAAAAGCCCTATCAAACCGTACTACTGCATTTTCCAAGAACAAAGCCTTTGGCTTTATGTGCGGTTTTTTATTTTATTTAACTTCATGTTGCTTTTTAAAATAAAGTTATGTTTAACGGCCCCAAGGCAGTAAAACTTGGGTAGATCCAGTCCAACTGATTTACAGCAATATGCTTTATGCCAGTAACATCTTAACATCATGCCTTGCATAAAACACCAAGAAACTATTAGAGAGCACTGCATTTTGTTATTAGAAATTGAGAAGCAAACTACTGCAACTTTTGTTGCTTCACCTCTGAAGAAATACAATGACTTGAGGGCAACAAGCCACATCATACTTATTTTTTCCCCTCATATTTTTCACAGGAGTTTAACTGTAGGGTCAGAGATGGGGTTTTATATCAGCATCTACCAGTCACAAAGCCATGCAATTAACAAGTTATAAACTATCAACCTCAAGAGTATCCTTCAGGTTGTCCTACTGAAGCTATTGCAATTTCAACCTTTCTTCCCTCCTTAGGAAGTAACACTGCCTCCCTTACAGCTCCAGCAATTATTTTTGAAAAGTCACTGTATATTTTTACAGCAATTCTGAACTTCTAAAGCAAACCCTGAAGTTTTTTTGAAAAATTTTGTAAGAGTCTCTAAAACTGCAAGAACATCAAAAGAGACTCGCTTATTTGGTTTAGTCATAATGCTGTCCTGTTATTTTTTTTCTCCTTTCATTGTCGATACTTTACTCCCTCCTGCTTTGCAAAAGTTCATTAAAATATCCCACTTAATGTGGAAATCCACTGTTTGCTTTTTACTCCATAATACAATCAATACAAACTTGAGTCAAACAATAGAACATAAGAAACCAGCTCTTCAGATAAAGTTACTAAATTAACAACTAACTAAATTGCTAATTTTGCTGACTTCAATATAAAAGAGAACCTTGCTGAAGAGTCCAACTGAGCTAAGAAAATACAAAGCAAAGCTACCTATAGAGTCTTTTAAAAACAAAATTATTCATAACAGTATTTTCACAGACAGAAAAAAATTGTAGTGTTTGCAAAGTATTTACAAAGATATTAGTACAGTCTGCAAAAAATCCATTAAAACAAGGAATATGAGTCAAAATGGTTCTTCACCAGGATCATGAGGAATCAGTAACAACTTCCTGTGTTTTACGTGGCCTGGCACACGCATGAGTATCTTCACTAAGGGTGTACCTAACTCAGCTCTCAAGAACATAAAATGGTCTTTAATTACACAACTTCTCACCACCTCATCTCCCAGTGCCTGGCTTCATTCAGTGCTTTGAAGGGAAAGTTTTGTAGAAAGATGATCTTTTTAGCAAAGACTTTCTTAACCTGGTTTAGTGCAGAACCACTGCCTTGTTTACAGAACAAATTATTCTGGGAGTATTTAAACAGTGACAGCATTTTCCAGCTCTCCCTTCTTATTTTAAAATAGCTGAGCATTACAGAAAGTTAATCAAAGAAAAATAGACTCCTACAACACAAATGTTGCACTTGAAAATTCCCATGGTCGAAGATGCAAGGAAAGAGGCAATCAAAAAGACACAGTTCAGCTTTAAAATGACAGTCACATTCCAACCCAATTATCACAAGACAAGACCCAGAATCTTGATCTAAGCTTATCAACCTGACTGACAGAGGTCATGGTGCCCTTAGGTCAAGGTCAGTCAGGGCTATGCAAAACAAGGAGGACAAAGCTGGAGCTATTCAATTTCCTCCTTTTTCTAAAAAGCCTACAGTCAAGCATTCACAATGAAAGGGGACAGGAACGCAGCAGGCCAGTGGCCAATGTTCATGGCATTAGGTGGTCAATTTTCTGAAAGCAAGCAAGCAGTGGTATACATAAGTGTTGCAAAAAGATTAATGAGCATTTTTTAATAGGAATCTTTGATAACTTCCACTGTTCAACATCCTACCCCTGCCAAGACAGAGCTTCAACTACAGTATTAAACAAAACAGACTCTTACAGTATTAAGAAGCGAGAGATCAGCCTGCAACTCCTATGGACAAATAGGTCCTCCCTAGAGGAGGACCTCTGCAGAGATGCATTTGAGTTTGTGACAAATTAGCTATATAAGCCTTCCCTTGATGGAAGCAGGAAACCAACATCCTTGTCAGAGCTGCATCTTTACTTACGTGTAGTCTTTATTCTGCTACTTCGTAAGTGTGGTACCCAACCCAAGCCACTACCTCAAAGCCTCTGTTTATCTTTCAGCTCACATATGCAGTTGATGTGGCTGTGTTAAAAAAAAAAAAAAAAAAAAAAAAAAAAAAAAAGGAAACAAAAAACTTGGGAAAGGGGGCCAAA